TATATATATATATATATATAGAAACCAGGTGTAGGCCCGGGTGGTTAAACTACCGGGCTCTACACCTGGTTTCTATATACTGAACCACCTGGCTAGCTAGCTATCTATCTAGCTATCCACCTAGCTAGCTAGCTAAAAAGTGTGCATGGGGCTAGCTACAACTGCGCCTAGCTAGCCAGCTACTCCGCGGCTGCCTGCGCGTGGAGCTAGCTAAACCTTGAGAATCTACCTATCTATCCAGCCGAGCTGTACGCTGTGCCTTGCCTAGCTAGCTATCTAGCTAGCTATCTCTCTAGCTAGCTAGCTAGCTAAGTATATAGCTGGTGTATGTTGGCTTTCTCACCCAGAAGTCTGCAAATATCGTCAGAGTTCTGACGAAGGTGCCGTGGAAGAGACGCTGAGCTGTCGCGGACTTGGTGGCCTTGCTGCCCCCCGTATGGTCTGTTGTCTCCGCCCAGAGCAGCAGTGCAGCGGGCTCATGAAGTGTCTCCTGTTCGAGTGTCTTAGCTTCTCCCCAAGCACTCGCGCTGCTCTCCATACCAGCTGGCTCTGCAGCTTTTTCTCCTGTCTCTCCTGCCCTGTCTCCTGTCTCCTCTCCTCTGTCTCCTGTCTCCTCACCCCCTGAGAAAGAACCAGACCCTTCTGTTATCGCCGGGCTCAACCGAAACCCGCTCCGCGAGGAAGTGTCTTCGCTGCAGTTCTGCATCACCACACGCTGCACACTCGTCTGCAGACAACAGCAGCAGCAACAGCAGCAGCAGCAGCAGCAACAGCAGCAGCAAAATTATTCGTATATCATTCAAGCTGGACACAACAGACTGTCTCCCTGGCACTCCCCCTATCGGCGTGACCCCCATATGCACTGTGAAATAGATATGAAGCAGCAGCAACTGCAGCAGCAGCAGCAGCTGCTGCTGCTGCTACTGCTCTAAAGAGTACAAAAACCGAGACAGCTAAAACGCCTCAAGCAACATGTCTCGCCTTTGCTGCTTTTGCACTGAGAGAGGAGACAGTATATACACTGCACGGAGACAGCGGGAGAGGGCATTCATAGAAATAGAGGGAAGACAAAGGCCGCCACAGAGGCATACAATGCAGTCAGAGAGACAGAAGAGATAGAACGAATACAGTGAGGAGACAACAGCAGCAAGAACCCCTAAGGAGACAGTAGATACAATCACGGAGACAACTAAGGAGACAGAAGCAGCAAGCTGCCCTAGGGAGACACCAAGTACAACCAAGTGAGGAAACAGGTGAGCAGATATGTGAGGAGACAGGTGAGGAGAAATATGAGGAGACAGGTGAGGAGAAATGTGAGGAGACAGGTGAGGAGACAGATGAGGAGATAGGTGAGGAGACAGGTGAGGAGAAATATAAGGAGACAGGTGAGGAGACAGGTGAGGAGACAGGTGACGATACAGCAGCAACCGTACCCCCGCGTGTATGAAGTCTACGTCGATGGGCCTGGAGACCCTCGGGCCGAAGTAAACAGTGATGTGTGAGGGGTCAGCAGGAAGAGACACTTCTTCTCCCGCTTCTATTTGCATTTCTGTTGGAGGAGGGGGAATAAAGGAATCAAATGTAAGCAGCTGCTGATTCTGCTGTTGCTGCTGCTGTTGCTGCTGCTGCTGCTGCTGCTGGGCAGCAGCGCCCCCGCAGTCGCGAGGAGAGAAACGCAAAGTTATAGGACGAGGCAATCGATTGCAGACACAGAGACAGTGCTCCAGCACTATCTCAAAGAAGAGACCCTCCAGGTTAGAACGACCTGAGGAGACAGACAAAAGGAGACAGATAAAAAGAGACAGATCAAAGGAGACAGAAGAGAGGCTAAAGAAGAAGGAAGATGGAAAGGAGACAATAGAAAAGAGACAGCAGAAAGGAGACGGGAGAAAGGAGACAGAAGAAAGGAGACAGCAGAAAAGACAGAGACATTTATAACACAAAACAGAAAGACTCAAACCGCCAACACCATCAGCACGTTGTGGGTAGTCACGTCACAGACGCAGTAGCATATACAAGGAATCGAAGCAGCACCAGCAGCAGCAGCAACAGCAACAGTAGCAGCAGCAGCAACAGCAACAGCAACAGCAGCAGCAGCAGCAACAACCAAGGCTGCGACGTCAGGAGATCAAGCAACCAAGGTAGTCACAGCTGGAAGAGCTTCAATCGAAGCAGCAACAGCAGCAGCAGAAGCAGTGGATGCAGGAGCAGCAGCAGCAGCAACACATGTAGCATAACCAGCAGCAGAATAAGCAACAAATGCAGCAGCAGGAGCAGCAGCATAAGCATTTGCAGCAGCAGCAGCAGCAGCAGCAGGTGGCAACTCACTCATGCCGCTGGATCTGAGAGCAACTCCAACAACAGAAGCTGATAGAGCGAGCCCCTCATCAATATGAATTTGTTTGGGGGGGAGACAGGATCGCTTGTTTCTATACTTAGCTAATAGAGAGCCACTGAATGCACGCTGCGACTTCTCCTATAAACAAAAGCAATACATAAACAACTACAACATACAAACACAGAAAGAAAAAAAAAAGAAACAACAACAACATACATACACCCACCACACACATCTCCTTACACTGCACCAAAAGGTGCAGCAGCAGCAGCAACAGGAAAAGATGCAAACGCAGCAGAAACAACAACAGGAGCAGCGGAACCACCACTGACAGCAACCAGCAGGAGCACGAACAGCAGCAGCCGAAGCAACCGAAGTAGAGCGAAGAACAGCAGCAACAGCAGCAGCAGCAACAGCAGCAGCAGCAACAGCAGCAACAGCAGCAGCAGCAACAGCAGCAGCAGCAACAGCAGCAACAGCAGCAGCAGCAACAGGAGCAGCAGCAAAAGGAGCAGGAAGTGTGTGTTTACTTCAGCTAAGAAGTCTGCATTTTTTGGGTTGAGTACAAATTTTCTGATTTTGTGTTTATATTTGGGGACCCTATCTGCTAGACAACACCAAAGAGGGGTATTGTCAGTGAGCTGCCAGAAGAGAGGAAGCGGCAGCAGCTGTTTGTCTCTATCATCGAGCACGAGGTAGTCAACGCCCAGTGTCAGTGGTTCTCTCTCATGGAGACGATCCTGGGATCGAGTACGACGACCGTGGGATCGCGATCCCCGATGATGTCGCTTGTCGCGGCCAACCCGAACACCACGCTGATGCTGATGCTCCTCCTCCTCCTGCTGCTTCTGCTGCTGCTGTTGCTGCTGCTGTTGCTGGTCCTCGTGCTGCTGCTGCTGACGCCGCCGCCGCCGTCGTGGCTCCTTTATCGCTACTGGCTCCAACAGCAAACAGTCGTTTTCGCGGGGGGACCGTGGGTTCCTTCTATAGGGGCTCTCGGGGGCCCCTGGGGCCCCCGGGGCCCCCGGGGGCCCCTCTCTCTCCGTTTCGTCTGCGAAGGGAAGAGAGGTGTCGCTACACCCCCAGGGGCCTCGCCCCGCTACCTCTTCACCTTCTCGTCTACTTGCTACTGTATCTGCTACTGCATCTGCTTCTACATCTGCTGCAGGATTTGGCGGTGTGTCTCTTGTCTTAGAGGCCTTGTCTCTTTGGGCTCGGCTGTGAAGGAGCTGCTGGAGTTGCTGCTGCTGCAGCTGCTGCTGGCGCCGCTGCAACAGCCCCTCAACAGCAAACTTAACTCTGCCCTGAATTTGTGCCGAGCCAGTGCTGGGAGCTGCAGCTGGGGTGGATACCGATGTGGGTGCTGGTGGGCTTGCTGCTGCAGTTGCTGATGTTGCTGCTGCTCCTGCTGCTGCTGCTGCTGCTGCCTCATCATCATCTGAAGGACAGTCTGCTACCATAGAAAACTTTCTGCCGATGTCAGTGCTGGTTGGGTCTTCAACAATATAATGTTCGAGTGCAGGGAGTTTGAGTACTGGGGGGAAGGTGCGGAGCTGCTGCTGGTGCTGGTGCTGCTGCTGCTGTTGGTGTGTCTGTTGTCTCCTTTTGCTTCTTCTTTCTTGCTGCTTGAGGGCCTCTAACCCACGAAGGAATGGAGGCATAGATGCTGTTGGTGGCTTCGATGGGGGAGCAGCAAATTTTTTACGAAATGCGGCGAAGACAGAAGTTCTTTCATCTGTGGGGCCGGGGACAGTAGGAAATATAGCCAGAGACAGCTCAGTTGTATTCCTTATAGATACACAAGAAGATAAAAACAAATCATGACGAGGGCTCCCACTAGTAGAAGCAAATGCAGATGTTCTCCATAATAAATAAACAGAAGAACGAGGACGAGGAAGAGCAGAGGGGACAAACCATCCACGCCGCCGCAACCGCTTAGCTCTGCTGTTGTCTCCTGGGGGCCCCCCTTGGGGGCCCCCACGTCGAACGGGGCTCCCTGAACCCCCACGGAAACTGTCATAGCCTGAAGGGTCATGCGAGGTGTACCCTGGTAGAATACCTTTTCGTAGGGCCCCCGGCATATGTGATAGGGGGCCCCTTTTTTTTGGTACATCTGAGGCCTCGTCTCCTGCATCTGTCTCCTTTTCGTGTTGTAGGTGTAGGGTGGGGGGGAGAGGTTGCTCGGGGACAGAGAGACGGATGACCTCACGTGTCTCCGTGTTGAAGGAAAAAAGTTTAGAGGGGAGATCATATACATAGTTTAATAAACGGAGACGAACAAGAAAAGGAGACACTCGCCCGTTCTCGTCCAAAGGGAGACAGAAACTCCCCTGGTCTCGCACCACAAACCAACTCCCACTCAATACGTCCGCACCCTCCTCACAGTGTAAATCTTAACAAAAAAACACACACACACAGCAACAGAAAACGGTTTATATAGATATATATATTAATATATATATATATATATATATATATATATATATA